GAAGTTAAATAGGGGTACCCAGAGGTCATTTAGTCCAGCCTCTTTGCATTGGCCAATATGAATGTTCAATATCCTGCCCTCTGAGCCCATTGCCCCATATTACAGAAGCATGGAAGTTAAATAGGGGGTCTCTAGAGGTCATCTAGTCAAACCTCTTAGTATTGAAGCTAAATAGGGGGGTCCCTAGAGGTCATCTAGTCCAACCTCTTAGCATCGATCAATATGAATGTTCAATACCCTGCCCTCTAAGCCTATTGCCCCACATTACAGAAGCATGGAAGTTAAATAGGGGGGGGGGGTCCCTATAGGTCATCTAGCCCAGCCTCTTTGCATTAGTCAATATGAACGTTTAATACCCTGCCCTCTAAGCCTATTGCCCCACATTACAGAAACATAGATGTAAAAAAAGGGGGATCTCTAGGGGTCATCTAGTCCAACCTCTTTGCATTGGTCAATATGAAGATGTGATATCCTGGCTTTTTGCCACTATTACATAAGCATAGTACTTAAAAAAGGGGGTCCCTAGAGGTCATCTAGTCTAATCCCTTATCATTGATCAACACAGAGAGGAGGTTATATCCTGGTCTCTAAGCCTATTGCCCTCCATATTAGGCATAGAATTAAAATGGGGGATCCTAGAGGTCATCTAGTCCAACTTCTTACCATTGGTCAATATGAGAGTTTCATATCCTGCCTTCGAAGACTATCACCACCTATTACGGAAGCATTGAAGAGAAAAAGGAGTCTCTAGAAGCCATCTAGTCCAACCTTTTAGCATCGATCAACATGAAAGTTTCATATCCTGCCCTCTAAGCCTATATTACCCCCCCCCCCATAATTAGGCATAGAATTGGAAAAAGGGGATCCGTAGAGGTCATCTAGTCCAACCTCTTAGCATTGGTCAGTATGAGGGGCTGATATCCTGGCTTCAAAGTCACAATCACAGACATATAGGAGTCAAAGGGGGATCCCTAGAGGCCATCTAGTCCAACCTCTAAGCATTGGTCAACATGAGGGGGCCATATCCTGGCTTTGAAGTCAATATTAACCGTAATATTAGGCATAGAATTGGTATAACAGATCCCCAAAGGCCATCTAGTCCAACCTGTAAGCATTGGTCAACATGAGGGGGGTCATACCTGGCTTTGAAGTCAATATTACCACCCATATTAGGCAGAGAATTGGGAAAATATTACCATTACAGAAACAAAAAGGGAGGCTCCCAGAGGTCATCTAGCCCAACCACTTAGCATTGGTCAACTTGGAGATTTGGTATCGCACCCATTACAGAAACATAGAAGGAAAGGGGACCCCCGGAGGCCATCTAGTCCAACCTCTTTGCATTGGTCAACATGAGTGGGTCATATCCTGGCTCCAAATTCCCTATTATCCCCCATATTAGGCATAGACTTGGAAAAAGGGAACCCTAGAGGTCATCTAGTGCAACATCTTTGCATTGGTCAATATGAGGGTTTCATATCCTGGCTGCAAAGCACCCGTTACAGATACATAGGAGTCAAAAGGGGACCCCCAGAGGCCATCTAGTCAACACAAGAGGGTCATACCTTGCCCTCTAAGCCTATTACCACCCAATACAGACACATAGAATAAGAAGGGTTTCATATCCTGGCATCAGTCCCTATTACCCCTAATATTAGTCACAGAATTGGAAAATAGGGATCCCCAGGGGCCATCTAGTCCAACCTCTTAGCCTTAGTCAATATGGGGAGCCATATCCTGCCCTCTAAGCCTATTACCTCAATTACAGAAGCATAGAAGTAAGAAGGGTTTCATATCCTGGCTTCAAAATCCCTATATTAGGCATAGAATTGGGAAAGGGGATCCCTAGAGACCATCGAGTTCCACCTCTTAGCCTTGGTCAACATGAGGGACTCATTTCCTGTCTTCAAAGTCAATATTACCCCTAATATTGGGCATAGAATTGGAAAAAGGGTCCCTAGAGGCCATTTACTCCAACCTCTTAACACTGGTCGGCTTTAAACTCAATATTACCCCTAATATGAGGCATAGATTTGGAAAAAGGGATCCCTAGAGGTCATCTAGTCCATCCTCTAGAATTAGGTCCCCAGAGGACATTTAGTACATCCTCCTAGCCATGGTCAACATGAGGGGGTCATATCTTGGCTTCAGAGTCAATATTACCCCTAATAATGAGGCATAGAATTGGTAAAAGGGCTCCCCAGAGGCCATCTAGTCCATCCTCTTAGCCTTGGTCAATAAGAGGGGGTCATATCCTGGCTTCAGAGTCAATATTACCCCTAACATTGGGCATAGAATTGGGAAAAAGGGTTCCCTAGAGGCCATCTAGTCCCACCTCTTAGCATTGGTCAACATGAGGGGGTCATATCTTGGCTTCAGAATCAATATTACCCCTTATATTAGGCATAGAATAAGGAAAAGGGATCCCCAGAGGCCATCTAGTCCAACCTCTAAGCCTTGGTCAACATGAGGAGGGTCATATCCTGGCTTCAGAGTCAATATTATCCCCAGAGGCCATCTAGTCCATCCTCTTAGCCTTGGTCAACATGAGGGGGACATATCCTGGCTTCAAAGACAATATTACCCCTAATATTGGGCATAGAATTGGAAGAAAGGGTCCCCAGAGGCCATCTAGTCCCACCTCTTAGCATTGGTTGGCTTTAAAGTCAGTATTACCCCTAATATTAGGCATAGAATTGGTAAAAAGGCTCCCCAGAGACCATGTAGTCCATCCTTTTAGCCTTGGTCAACATGAGAGGGTCGTATCCTGGCTTCAGAGTCAATATTACCCCTAACATTGGGCATAGAATTGGGAAAAAGGGTTCCCTAGAGGCCATCTAGTCCCACCTCTTAGCACTGGTTGGCTTCAAAGTCAATATTACCCCTAATATTAGGCATAGAATTGGAAGAAAGGGTTCCCTTTTCTGGCTCCAGAGTCAATATCACCCCTAATAGTGGGCATAGAATTAGGAAAAAGGGTCCCCAGAAGCCATCTAGTCCACCCTCTTAGCCTTGGTTGGCTTCATAGTCAATATTACCCCCCATATTAGGCATAGAGTTGGAAAAAGGGATCCCTAGAGGCCATCTAGTCCAACCTCTTAGCATTTGTCAGCTTCAAAGTCAATATTACCCCTAATATTAGGCATAGAAATGGGAAAAGGCATCCCTAGAGGCCATCTAGTCCATCCTCTTAGCCTTGGTCAATATCAGGGGGTCATATCCTGGCTTCAGAGTCAATATTACCCCTAATAGTGGGCATAGAATTGGGAAAAAGGGCTCCCTAGAGGCCATCTAGTCTATCCTCTTAGCCTTGGTCAATAAGAGGGGGTCATATCTTGGCTGCAAAGTCAATTATTACCCTTAATATTAGGCATAGAATTGGAAGAAAGGGTTCCCTAGAGGCCATCTAGTCCAACCTCTAAGCATTGTCAATAAGAGGGGATAATATCCTGGCTTATTACCCCTAATAGTCAATATTACCCCTAATATTGGGCATGTAGTCCATTCCCTTAGCCTTGGTCAATATCAGAGGCTCATATCCTGGCTTCAGAATCAATATTACCCCTAATATTGGGCATAGAATTAGGAAAAAGGGTCCCCAGAGGCCATCTAGTCCAACCTCTAAGCATTGGTCAGCTTAAAAATCCCTATTGCCCCCAATATTAGGCATAGAATTGGAAGAAAGGGTTCCTTTTTCTGGCTTCAGAGTCAATATTACCCCTAATAGTGGGCATAGAATTGGGAAAAAGGGTCCCCATAAGTGATCTAGTCCATTCTTTTAGCATTGGTCAACATGAGGGATCATATCCTGGCTTCAGAGTCAATATTAACCCTAATATTGGGCATAGAATTAGGAAAAGGGCTCCCCAGAGGCCATCTAGTCCATCCTCTTAGCCTTGGTCAACATGAAGTGGTCATACCTTGGCTGCAAAGTCAATATCACCCCTAATTTTGGGCACAGAATTAGGAAAAAGGGCTCCCCAGAGACCATCTAGTCCATCCTCTTAGCCTTAATCAACATGAAGCGTTCATATCTTGACTTCAGAGTCAATATTACCCCCAATATTAGGCACAGAATTGGGGAAAAGGGATCCCTAGAGACCATCTAGTCCATTCCTTTTAGCCTTGGTCAACATGAGGAGGTCATATCCTGGCTTCAAAGTCAATATTACTCCTAATATGGGGCACAAAATTAGGGGAAAAGGGTCCCCAGAGGCCATTTAGTCCATCCTCTTAGCCTTGGTCAACATGAAGGGGTCATATCTTGGTTTCAGAGTCAATACTACCCCTAATAGTGGGCTTAGAATCAGGAAAAAGGATCCCCAGAGGCCATCTAGTTCAACCTCTTAGCATTGGTCGGCTTTAAAATCAATATCACCCCCAATATTAGGCATAGAATTAGGAAAAAGGGATCTCTAGAGACCATATAGTCCCACCTCTTAGCTTTGGTTGGCTTCAAAGTCAATATTACCCCCAATATTAGGCATAGAAATGGGAAAAGGGCTCCCTAGAGGCCATCTACTCCAACCTCTTAGCCTTGATCAGCTTCAAAGTCCCTACTGCCCCCAATATTAGGCATTGAATTGGAAGAAAGGGCTCCCGAGAGGCCATCTAGTCCATCCTTTTAGCCTTGATCAATATCAGAGGGTCATATCCTGGCTTGAGAGTCAACATTACCCTCAATTTTAGGCATTGAATTGGGAAAAAGGGCTCCCCAGAGGCCATCTAGTCCATCCTTTTAGCCTTGATCAATATTAGAGGGTCATATCCTGGCTTGAGAGTCAATATTACCCCTAATTTTGGACATAGAATGGGAAAAAAGGGCTCCCCAGAGGCCATCTAGTCCAACTTCTGAAGTATACACAAAAGGGAGGTCTTCCTCTTGGCCCCACCCGGTCCCTAGAGAGAGTCATAAAGAGAGAGAGCCCCCTCCCCTTTAAGAGTGAGTGCCCCCCTGGGCTTCTTCCCCTTTAAGAAGAGTTGGCCCCCTTTTGGCTCACCTTGGCGGCGCATCGTGTGAGGGAAGGGCGGGGGGGGGGGGGGCGAGGCGGGGTCTGCTCTCAGCGCGGTCCGCAGGGGAGGGGAGCAGGATCCGCTCCGGGTCGGAGAAGAAGAAGGAGAAGAAGGAAGAGAAGCGGCGACGGCATCCTCTGCCCTTGTTTCCCGCCCAAAAGAACGCAGGCTGAGGGGAAAGAGAAGAAGCCTTTTCCTCCTCAGCCGCGGCTTCTGCTTCTTCTCTCTCCCGCAGCGGCTCTGGCTCTGTTGGCGGGGCGGGGCGTGGCCAGGGCGAGGCTGCGGGGGGCGGAGTCTATTGGAGAGGTGAGGCCTCGCGAAGCCACGCCCAAGAGGAGAACTGTTTCTGTTTGCGGGGCGGGCCTCGCGATTGCCACGCCCCGCAAACAGCAACAGTTCTCCTCTTGGGCGTGGCTTCGCGAGGCCTCCCCCCCTCTCGCTTTCCCTCCTATGCTAAGGCGCGGCTTCACTAGACCACGCCCCCTATGCAAATTTACTTTTTCCCTTCCTCTCCCTCTCTCTTTCCCTCTATGCTAAGGCGTAGCTTCACGACGCCACGCCCCCTCTCGGCCGCAGCTAAGCGATGGTTTTGTGCTAGGGCGTGGCTTCGCGAGACCACGCCCCTTACGCAAATTTATTTATTTTTTTCCCCTTTCTTCCTTCAGGAGAGCCACGAAGCCACGCCCCCTCCCAAAGTTGACCACGCCCACTCCGCAATTTTTTCTCTCTCCTCACTGGCAACTCGCACCGCCAACGAAGCCACGCCCCTTAGAAAGTGACCACGCCCGCTCAACAATTTTCTCTCCTCGCTGACAATGTGTGGGCGTGGCTTTCGCGATAAGCCACGCCCCCTCCTGAAGAGCAGCCTCGCCCCGTTGAGACAGAGCAAGGCTGTGGGCGTGGCTTCATCTCGCCAAGCCACGTCCCCTCTCCTTCAAAACTAGCCAAAGCAGGGCTGTGGCTTGGCGATATAAAGCCACGCCCCCTCTCCTTCAGAGCTTAGCTTCAGAAGCCAGAGGCTGTGGGCGTGGCTTTGTGTCGCGAAGCCACGCCTCCTCTCTTTCAGAGCTTAGCTTCACAAGCCAGAGCAGAGCTGTGGGCGTGGCTTTATGTCGCCAAGCCACGCCCCTCTACTTCAGGGCGTGGTTTTATGCCGCGAAGCCGCGCCTCCTCTCCTTCAGAGCTTGGCTTCACAAGCCAGAGCAGGGCTGTGGGCGTGGCTTTATAACGACAAGCCACGCCCCCTCTCGTTCTTGGCTTTACAAGCCAGAGCAGGGCTGTGGGCGTGGCTTTATGTCTCGAAGCTACGCCCCCCTCTCCTTCAGAGCTTCACGGGGAGGCGTGGCTTCACAAACTATGGGCGTGGCTTTGTGTCGCGAAGCCACGCCCCTCTCTCCTTCAGAGCTTCGCGGGGAGGATTACTTTTTTTTCTCTCCTCACTGGCAACTCGCACATCCAATGTGTGGGCGTGGCTTTCTCGAGACCACGCCCCCTCTTGAAGAGGTGACTCGCCCCGCTGGGACAGAGCAGGGCTGTAGGCGTGGCTTTGTCTCGCGAAGCCACGCCCCCTCTCCCTCAGAGCTTCACAAGCCAGAGCGACGGCGGTGGGCGTGGCTTCGCTTAAGTGAAGGCACGCCCCCTCCCTTTTCCGCCTCTCCCTTGCTTCTTCTTCGCAAACTGAATCAGAGTGAGGGGAAGCTGCGGGGGCGTGGCTTATCGAGGCCACGCCTCACCAACAGAGCCAGAGCGCGGCTGCCGAGGGGCCGGGGCTTTTTTGTGGGCGTGGTTTAACTCTCCTTCGGGAGAGGCTTCCCCAGGGGGCGTGGCTAGTCCAGGCCACGCCCCACCAACAGAGTTAGGGAGAAGCTTTTCCCTCGGGGGCGTGGCTAGACGAAACCACGCCCCACCAACAGAGTTATGGCAAACAGGGCGAGGCTGAGGGGCGTGGCCTCAATAAACCACGCCCCTCTTTTTTCCTGCTCCTTCAGGAGGGGCGCCCCGCCCTTCTCTTCAGTCACTCTTTCTCAAAGTATTTCCTTTTCTTTATTCTTTATCTATCTATCTGTGTGTATCTCTCTTTCTTTCTCTCTTTGTACTTCCTCTCCTGAGGGAGCCCAACGGCCGCACCTGAGTGACAGCCGCCGTCGCCATGGCAACGCCAGACCCCGCCCTTCCCTTGCCGCTCCTTTTCTTTCGTCGCCATGGCAACCCCTCGCCCTTCCCCCCCCCCCGCCTCTCCTCAGACAAAAACAAAAGGGGCAGGTTGGGGAGGAGGCAAGTTCCGAAGGGGGAGAAGAGAGGAGAGGAGGGGGGGACGCCTTATCCGGAGAGACACGCGTCTGGCGGGTTCGCACGGGACCCAAGCGCGCATGAGGAGGAGCTGTCAATCATGGCCGGAGAAAGGCCTCTCCTGAAGAGGGGCAGCAGCAGGCCAGGCTTGGACAAAGGCGGGTTGGGGCTGAGAGAGTGTGGCCTGGCCCAAGTGGGATAAGCAGGGAGAGAGAGAGAGGGAGTTAAGTATAAGAGACACACAGACAGGAGATAGATAGATAGATAGATAGATAGATAGATAGATAGATGGATAGATGGATAGATGGATAGATGGATAGATGGATAGATGGATAGATGGATAGATAGGAACATGGCTGCAATAGATGGATGGATGAATGGATAGAGAGATAGGTACATAGATAGATAGATAGATAGATAGATAGATAGATAGATAGATAGATAGATAGAGATAGGAACATGGCTGTAATAGATGGATGGATAGACAGATAGATAGATAGATAGATAGCTATCTACCTATCTATAGTCAGGAGAAATGCCTCTAGAACATGGCCCTATAGCCCGAAAAAAAAACACAAGAACCTAGTGATTCCAGCCATGAAAGCCTTCGACAATAGATAGATAGCTGTCTGCAATAGATAGATAGATAAATGGGGAGATAATTAAGTTTAACAGATAGATGCATAGATAGATAGTTAAATAGATAACTGGAGAGATAATTAAGTTTCATAGATAGATCACTCTAATAGACATAAATAGTTGGGGATACAGAGTTAAGTTTCATAGATAGGATATAGATAGATAGATGGCTTCAATAGACAGATAGATAGACAGACAGACAGACAGACAGTTAAGTGGATAGTTAAGTTTCATAGATAGGATATAGATAGCTCTAATAGATAGATAAATAGTTAAGTGGATAGATAGGTAAGTATCATAGATAGGATATAGATAGATAGATGGCTTCAATAGACAGACAGATAGACAGACAGACAGTTAAGTGGATAGTTAAGTTTCATAGATAGGATATAGATAGATAGATGGCTTCAATAGATAGAAAGAAAGATAGATAAACAGTTAAGTGGATAGTTAAGTATCATAGGATATAGATAGATAGCTCTGATACATAGATAAATAGTTAAGTGGATAGAGGGTTAAGTTTCATAGATAGATATCTGCAATAGATAGATAGATAGATAGATGATAGATAAGTGGATAGATAGTTAAGTTTAATAGATATGAGGTAGGTAGATAGATGGATAGATAGATAGATAGATAGATAGATAGATAGATAGAAAAGTGGATAGTTAAGTATCATATATAGGATATAGATAGATAGATAGATAGATAGATAGATAGATAGACAGACAGCTCTAATAGATAATCAGTGGATAGGTAGTTAAGTTTCATAGATAGATAGATAGATAGATAGATAGATAGATAGATAGATAGATAAGTTGAGAGATAGTTAGGTTTCACAGACAGATAGGATATAGATAGATAGATGGATAGATAGATAGATAGGAAGGAAGCAGGATGGATGGATAGTTCAGTGGATAGATAGAATTAAGTTTAATAGATAGATAGGAAGATGGATTGATGAGTGGATAAAGAAATAGGAGAGAGAGAGAGAGTTAAGTATAATCAACAGATAGGAATATAAACATAGATAGATGAGTAGATAGAGATAGGAGAGAGAGAGCTAAGTAGAGAGATAGAGAAATGGGAAAATAGATCAATTAATGGATGGATAGGAAAAAGAGGTATAATAGACAGATAGGAAGATAGATAGATAGATAGATAGATAGATAGATAGATAGAGATAGGAGAGAGACCTAAGTATAATAGGCAGATAGGAAGTGATAGATAGATAGATAGATAGGAAAATAGGTAGGAAAATATATCAATGAATGGATAGATAGGAGAAAGAGTTAGGTATAATAGACAGATAGGATGATATAGATAGATGGATAGATGGATAGATAGGTGGATAGAGATAGGAGAGAGAGCTAAGTATAATAGGCAGATAGGAAGAGATGGGAAAATAGGTAGGAAATTTGATCAATGGATGGATAGGAGAGAGTTAAGTATAATAGACAGATAGGAAGAAGAGATAGACAGACAGATAGAAAGTGTCATAGACAGATAGGATATAAATAGATAGGAAGATAGATAGGAAGATGGATGGATGGATAGATAAAAGGAAAAGAGATGGATGGATAGATGAGTACTACAGACAGATTAGAAGATAGATAAAAGATAGGAGAGGGTTAAATGTAGTACACATAGAGGAAAATAGATAGATAGCAAGAGAGGGAAGAAGATAGGTAGGTAGATAGACAGGAAGACAGATAGGAAAATGGATGGATAGACCGATAGATAGATAGAAAGATAGAAAGATAGATAGCAGGAGAGGTAGGAAGATTGGTAGGTAGGAAGGTAGGTAGGTAGCTAGGTAGGAAGGTAGACAGATAGATTAGATAGAAAGATAGATAGATAGATAGATAGATAGATAGATAGATAGCAAGAGAGGTAAGATAGATAGGTAGGTAGGTAAGTAGACAGACAGACAGGAAGATGGAGAGTTAAGTATAATAGACAGACAGATAGGATGTAGGTAGGAAGGTAGATAGGAAGATAGATAGAATGTATAACACATAGGATATAAATAGATAGGAAAATATATAGGAAGATGGATGGATGGATGGACGGACGGACAGACAGACAGACAGACA